GGATCGCGCCGCACCAGGGGGGAAGTGAGAGGGGGCAGGCAGGCCTTCTCATGAGGCGGCGGGGCTTCTCCGCAGCTCTGGGCCTCCCAGATGGGGTCGGAGCAGAGGGGGTTGGGGGATCGCGCCGCATCGCCGATGCATCGCCGATGCGGCTCGATGTGGAGCCCGATTTGCTTCACGCCGACGTCGCCCATGCATCGCCCACGTCGATGATGCATCGCCGGTGCATCGCCGATGCATCACTGATGTATCGGCGATGCGGCGCGATCCCCCGACCCCATCTGGGAGGCCCCTACACCTTAAGCGATGCTTAAGAAAACTCAAATTTTCGGCCAGAGTCTCGATTATTCTTAATGTTTCAATGTAAATCCTAAGATTTTAATAGAAATGTTTGGTTTTTATTCAAGTTCTGAGACTATGAATTTCTTAACCCATGATTTCTTAAGCATTTCGCAGGGTGTAGAAGCCCTCAGGCCTTCTGAGAAGCCGTCTCCGCCTCCGGAGGAGGCTCGGGGCACGTCTCGGAAGGCCGGAGGCCTCCCGAGGCTCCTGGGAAGGCCCGACCCCTATGACCTCCCGCCGTCGGCTGGGGCCAGGACGAGGATAAACGCTGCCGCCGCTGCCGCCGCCGCCGCCCGCGTCGTCGTCGTCGTCGTCGTCGTCGTCGTCGTTGCTATCGCCGCCGCCGCCGTCGTCGACTGACCTCCCGCCGTCGGCTGGGGCTCCCGCGGCGGCGTGAACGCTCTCAGAGCGCTCCGGAACGCTCCGAGAAGGCCGCGGCGCCCGGCTCGGGATCCCGCAAAGGGGGGGGGCCCCGGGTGTGTGTGGGTGAGAGTTCGATCGGCTTTTGCACCGAACCGCCCAAAACAGATGCCTCCCAGCCGCCAGGAACTCGCGATAGTTGCCGACAGGTGGGAATGCGGGGGGCACCTGTTTGCGGCAGTTCGGTGCAACAACGGATCGAATTGATGCCCCCCCTCAGGGTCACCCCCCTTGCGGTGGATTCCGACCGGTACATCCTCCAGAGCCGCCGGCCCTCAGATATTCTCGATTCATCCCGACTGATCTGCGGGGGGCGTGTGGTCTTCGTCCCCTTTTGTTGCAAGGGATCCTACGCGACAGCACGCGCGCAAGTCGCGGGCTTCTATGCCAGACTGCTGCCTCATTGGGGGCCATCCTCACCCGACTTTATCCTCGTCCTGGCTTCGTCGGACCCCTGCCCAGACCCCCGACGCCATGATTTTTTCACGACGTGGACCCCCAGCGGTCTGGACCCCTTCCCCGGGTCTGGTTCTTCGCCCTGAGTCGTTTTAACGGGCCGGGGGCCCTTTTGGGGCCTCCAGAGGCCGAAAACAGCGGGAAACTTCCCGTCGTTCACCAGAGGAGAAAGAACCACTACCACCAGCTAGGGGGGCTGGCCGCTCCCCCCCCCCCCGGAGCTGGCGGCACCCCGCTCCGGGCGCGCCCCCAGAGAATGCCCGGAACGGAGTGCCACCAGCTCGGGGGGGTGGCCTTTGGGAGCGGAGCTCTATGGAGTTCTGGTGGTGGTGCAGTCGGTGGACAACATATCGCAAGTTATCTGAGCATGCTGAGAAGCAGCGTGCCAACTAGGATCAGATTCCATCGATCGCTGAGGACCCCCCCATCCCCACATTTCAATGTCGACTTGCATAACTTTGTCCTCCGGGACGGGGGGGCCTCACCGACGCCAGCACTGACATGTAGGGGGCAGGGGGAGGTGGCGTCGAGATCTTGTCGCAGTCCATGTGCAGCCGCATGCGCCCACGAACAAGTTGCATGTTTTCGTCCACCCACCGTGGCTCTCTTTGCTCTCGTCTCCTCCCCCCCCTGCGCTGGTGGCACCCCGCTCTGGGCGCGCCCCCAGAGAGTGCCCAGAACGGAGTGCCACCAGCTTGGGGGGGGGGGGGGCCTTTGGGAGCGGAGTTCTATGGAGTTCTGGTGGTGGTGGCTCCCTTTTCTCTCGCGAGCCGTGCTTTTTCACAACGCGAGGAGGGTCTGGGCTGGTGGTGGTGGCCCTCTTTGCTCTCGTGCGCCCACCGTGGCTCCTCCTCCTCCTCCTCCTCTTCCTCTCCCTCCTCATCCTCCTCCTCCTTATCCTCCTCCTCCTCCTCTCCTCCTTCCTCCTCCTTCCTCCGCCTCCTCCTCCTCCTCCTCCTCTCCTCCCTTCCTCTCTCCCTCCTCCTCCTCCTCCTCCCTCCTCCTCCTCCTCCTCCTCCTCCTTGTTCCTCCTCCTCCTCTCTCCTCCTTCCTCCTCTCCTCCTCCTTCCTCCGCCTCCTCCTCCTCTCCCCTCCTCCTCCTCCTCCTCTCCTCCTCTCTCCTCCTCCTCCCCCCTCCTCCTCCTCCTACCCCCTCCCCCTCCCCTCCCCTCCCCTCTCCTGCCTTTTCTCGTCCACCCACCGTGGCCCTCGTTGCCCTCGGGCGCCGCGATGCCTCACAGCGCGGGGAGGCCTGGGCCTCGACCCCCCCCGAGGGGGGCCCGCCGCCGGCAGAGGGCCCCCGCAGCGGGCCCCCCGCGGCGGGCCGTGCCGAGCGCCTTCGGGCCGCGGGGGCCCGGCGCTCCGAGATGCCCGAGTCGGGCGTGCCCCTTTCCTCCTCCTCCTCCTCCTTCCTCCTCCTCCTCCTCCTCTGCTTCCTCCTCCTCCTCCTCCCTCCTCCTCCCCCCTCCTCCTCCTCCTCCTCCTCCTCCTCATCCTCTCCTCCTCCTCCTCCTCCTCCTCCTCCTCCTCCTCCTCCCTCCTCCTCTCCCTCCCTCTCCTCCCCCTCCTCCCCCTCCTCCTCCTCCTACTCCTCCTTCCCCTCCTCCTCCTCCTCCTCCTCCTCCCCTCCTCCCCTCCTCCTCCTCCCCCTCCTCCCCTCCCTCCTCCTCCTCGTCCTCCTCCTCCTCCTCCTCCTCCTCCTCCTCCTCCTCCTCCTCCCCCTCTTGCTTTCTTTCTTGTTTTCAACAAAATCGTATTCTTTCTTGCTTTCAAAAAAGCAAACATCAAAAGCAAGGGGGTGATGTGTCGCGTAGTTATGCTGCATTATGCTGATGTGTTTCTGCCTCATGTCGAGGAGTAGTCCGAACATGCCCAAGTCGGGCGTGCCCCTTCTATGGGAGGAATAGTCCAACAATTGGTATTCTTTCTTGCTTTCAGAAGAGCAAACATCAAGAGCAAGGGGGTGATGTTTCGAGTAGTTATGCTGATGTGTTTCTGCCTCATGTCGAGGAGTAGTCCGAACATGCCCAAGTCGGGCGTGCCCCTTCTACGGGAGGAATAGTCCAACAATTGGTATTCTTTCTTGCTTTCAGAAAAGCAAGCATCAAAAGCAAGGGGGTGATGTTTCGAGCAGTTATGCTGATGTGTTTCTGCCTCATGTCGAGGAGTAGTCCGAACATGCCCAAGTCGGGCGTGCCCCTTCTACGGGAGGAGTAGTCCAACAATTGGTATTCTTTCTTGCTTTCAGAAGAGCAAGCATCAAAAGCAAGGGGATGATGTTTCGAGCAGTTATGCTGATGTGTTTCTGCCTCATGTCGAGGAGTAGTCCGAACATGCCCAAGTCGGGCGTGCCCCTTCTACGGGAGGAATAGTCTGGTTAAAAATCAATTGCAACAAGAACAGCACGAACAACAACAACAACAACAACAACAATAACAATTACTAGCACGTGGGGACACTCCGTTCTCACCAGTGCCAGGGTTTTCATAGGAGGCGGGCAATACCCCCACTTTGTGGGGGGGCCGGTTCAAGCTCTACCAAATTTCCAAACGACTCTTCGCCACCACCCACACCCAGCTTCCCGCCCTATGACGTTCGGACACTTCACTTCGTGGCACGCGGACGACCGTGGCTACTATTCAGGGCCCCGCGGCCGACGACGACGGCGTGCGCGCGCGAAGAAAAAACGAATGTGTCCCGCATGGTATTATTTGACAGGGATGATGGCCCTGGCAGGTGCGCAACCGTTGTTGCAGAAGTTCGAAAAAGTTGCTCGCAAAAGCCCTTTTGACAGAAATGTTAAAAAAGTGTTGGGTTTCCTACGAATCCGCAAGAGCGCGCGGGATAGAATTTTCACAACTTTTTTTTGAAAAACCATTGGGTTTTTGATGTTTTTATGTTAAAATCGCTACGAAAACTAAGGTTTTGGAAGGATTTCGTCTTGCGCGCGCGAATGTGCACTTCGTGTCATTTTTTGCAATGGATTCCTGAAGTTTGGTTATGTTAGAACAAGAAATGTCATTTTATAGTGTTTTTTGACAGGGAAAGCGGGCGTCAACAAAACAACCGGATCTGGATGACATCGTTTTACCTGAGGCTTCCTCACGAAAATGATGAAAACGTGGCTGCGGCCTAGGCGCGGCGGGGGGGGCGTGCACCAGGGGGCCCAACAATAATTATTCTTTAGAAGTAATAATATTCAACAACAACATCAACAACAACAACAGCAACAACAACAACAGCAGCAACAACAACAACAGCAACAACAACAACAGCAACAGCAACAGCAACAACAACAGCAACAGCAACAGCAACAACAACAACAACAGCAGCAGCAGCAACAGCAACAGCAACAGCAACAGCAGCAACAACAACAGCAACAACAACAACAATAACAAAAACAACAACCACAACAACAGCAAAAATAGAAAAAGGGATGATGTTTCGAGTAGTTCTGCCTATTGTTTGATTGGTGTTGACTGTTGACCGTTTGTCCTCCAGAGTCCGCCTGTGGGAAGACATGCCCGACCTGATCCTGTGCCGCGGCACCTTCCCCTCCCCCTCATCCCTCCTCCATTCCCTCCCCCTCCTCCCTCCTCCTCCCTCCTCCTCCCTCCTCCCTCCTCCTCCCTCCTCCCGCCTCCTCCTCCCTCCTCCCCCCTCGCCCCTCCCCCTCCCCCATCCTCCCTCCTCCCTCTTCCCTCCCTCCCTCCTCCCGCCCAGGGGCTCCCCGCAGCGGGCCGTGCCGAGCGCCTTCGGCCGCGAGGGCCTGGCGCTCCGAGATGCCGCGGCGGCCCCGAGGCGGGCCGCGCGGCCTCGGGGCCCGGGGCGCCGCGCTGCTGCTGCTGCAGGCCCTTGTGGCACGGCGTGCCCACGGGTCCAGGACGCTCCGCGGGGAGGATCCTGGACCTCGAGATTTTCTCATCCTCCTCCTCCTTCTCCTCCTCCTCCTCCTCATCATCATCATCATCAGCATCATCATCATCATCATCACCATCATCCTTTTCCTTTTTCCTCCTGACCTATAGACCCAGAGATCCTCCTCCTCCTCCTCCTCCTTTTTCCTCCTCCTCCTCCTTCTTCCTCCTCCTCCTCCTCCTCCTCCTTTTTCCTCCTCCTCTCCTCCTCCACCTCCTCCTCCTCCTCCTCCTCCTCCTCCTGCTCCTCTGGCGCTCCCAAAAAATCGGAGCGGGCGGTTTGGGGCCATTTTCGGCCTCCAGGGGCCCTCGCCGGGCCTCGAGGGCCTTTGGCCTCTGCCCTGGGCTGCTCGCCGCGCTGCTGCTGCAGGCCCTGATGGCGCGACGTGCCCACGGGTCCAGATTTCCAGGTCGCTGATTTTGTCAAGACGCCTCAAACGTAATGATTTTGACAGTTTGTTTTGACGTTTTTCAAACGTCATGAGTCTGAGTGAAGTGTACTGGTTTTTGGTCGTATGTCTTGATTGTTGGTCGTGTGTCTTGATGTTTGGTAATGTGTCTCATGATGTCTGGGGATGAGGGTCGGCCACGCCAGAAACGATAGGGGGGATAAGTATGAGGGGGGATGCATCGACCCCCAATCGCCCATTGATCGCCGATAGGGGCCCGATAGTCCCAACCTGCCCAGGAAGGTGCGGATTCACGATCGGAGGCCTATCGCCGATCTATCGGCGATGTATCGTGGATTTCAGGTCGATGCATCCCCCCCTATGCGAGCCCCCCCCTACCGTTGCCCCTCATCAGTGGGGGGTCTCGGGCGGGTGTTAATGGGGGGTGGGGGCACGAACAGCGACATTGGCATAGGAAACTACCGGCGCCGATCCGAGAAATCCGCGCGGACCTCCGATTTTTTATATAGATTCATGTCACTGTTCGTTCCCCCTAATAGGGGGTGAGCTAATATATATATATTATACACATATATAATGTCACTGTGCGTTCCCCCCCGATATATATATATATATATGTATGTAAATATAATATATATATATATATATATATATATATATATATATATATATATATATATATCCTAACGGGTGCACTTGCACCTGGTGGTTCGTTGTAGTGCGTGGTTCGTATCCGCGGCGTTTTGCGACGTTACTAGCTTGTTGCGGCTGGGCAGTTGGACAAGGTTGTAGTTGGTCGTGCGTCGTGCATGCTGGGATCTGAGGGATAGGATGGGTAGTAGGGACATATGGTATCATGCACAAGGGATATATGATGGATAGGAGGGATGCGAGGGTTAAGAGGGACAGGAGGGATATGCCGGATATGAGGGATACGCCTGAGCAGAGGCATAAGCCTGAGCAGAGGCATGGCAGGGAGAAGGGGGACACACAGAAGGTGCCAGAAGGACAGATGGATGTATGGATGGCGACTTGTGCAATGTCCAAACAGCGAGCGTTCGAGGTTGAACGCCGCCAGCAGCCATTCGTTCAACATTGAACGGCCTGCGCTTTCGGAGAGCCGCGATCGTCAGATCTTGGCCAGGCCCACCTAGGGCCCAGGATCGATGTGTGTATCTCCTGCCCTGGCAGGGAAACACACACACACACACGCACGCACACGCCAATCCTGGGCCAAAGGCTAGTCTGGCCAGGGCTTCCAACGGCTGGGTCGGTGTTTCCTGGATGGGCGGCGTCCCAGCCGTCGCCAAATAACGCCCTGGCCTCAACCAAGCACTGCCCCAGCCGTCCCAGAGATCGATGCGAGGGAGGTGACCACTACCAAAAAACACTGTGTTTTTTTGGTGGCGTCCCAGCCGTCCCAGATTAACATGGTGACCACTACCAAAAAGCACTGTGTTTTTTTGGTGTTGTTTTCTACATGGTTCTTGCACTTCATTCATGCATGCGAACATCTCCACATAGCCGTTTTGGCCCAAGGCCCAGAGGCTCCCAGTGTGCCATTTTGGCATGCCCAGGTGCGACTACTGCAGGTCTCCTTGTGGCTGGCACTCGTTTCCGGGGCTGCAGCGCAGCCCTTCCGTGGCAAGTTGCCTCCCTGAAGCTCCCTGGGGCTCCCTGAGACTCTCGGACGCTCTCTGAGGCTCCCTGAGGCTCCCTGAGGCCCCCTGAAGCTTTCTGAGGCTCTCTGAGGCTATCTGAGGCTCCCTGAGGCTCCCTGAGGCTGTCTGAAGCTCCCTGAGGCGCACTGGGGCTCACTGAGGCTCCCTGAGGCCCCCTGAAGCTCCCTCCCTGAAGCTCCTCTTCACAGGACGCACTTACACAGATGTACGCATACACACATACATACACATCTCCATATACCCTATACACATATGTATACACATACACACACTTACAAGTACAAACAAACATATACGTGCATATACAACACATATCATACATCGTGCACCAGGTGCAAGTGCACCCGCAGGGTATGTATGTATATATATGTATTATAAAATATGTATACACATATATACACATATGTCATTGCTCGTTCCCCCAAATAGGGGGTGAAGACAAAAACCCTAAAGAGGGCCCTCTCGATCCCTTTTGGGGCACCTGCTGGCTCTCCGAGGATCCCTCCGGGGCCTCTCTCTTCACCCGCCACGCGGGTCACCCCCCCTTACAGTCCGGGCGCTGAAAAAGGAACCCTTCTCGTTGGCGAGGGGTTCGGTGTTCCTTGATTGTTTTACAGTTCGCGTGGGGCTTCCATGGGAAATCGAAGTTTTACTTTTGGAAAAAAGGGGCCTCGTTCCTTACTTCAACTGTACCGTGCTCAGAGGGGGGCCCGAGGTATGGGACAGCCTTCACGGGAGACGTCCGGGACGCTCCGTGGGGGGGTCGGCCACGCTCAGGCCTAAACCCCCTCGCGCTGTGACAAAAATCACCACGGGGAGGCTCTGCGCTATGTAGTTTCGGCCCCCGAGGAGCCCTTCCCAGGCCCCGGGAGCATCAAAAACGACGCGGGATGAAAATTCGGTCCCGGGGAAGGGGTCCAGACCTTTGGGGGTCGACGGCGTGAAAATATCACGACGTCGGGGGTCTGGGAGAGGGGGGTCAGGGGGAGGGTGGAAGGCTTTCTAGAAGCACCCTTGCTCCTTAGGGAGGCGCGGGCCTTGTCTAGAGATGCGAGGCCGGCGCCTTCCAAGAAGCAGCCTCCAGGCCGGCGCCTTCTAAGAAGCCGCTTCCTGCGAAGAAGCCGTCCCCCTTCCCCCTGCCCCCTTGTGGGCGACGCCAAGGAGGGTCGAACACCCAGTTTACGGTCGGAGCGAGGTATAAGATCGAGGTCGGTTCGGGGAGGGTGGCCCAGTGTTCATCGTGTTTGCTGGATGTTCCTCGTGCATCCGGGGGGAGAGCACCCTCGAATGCTCCTCTTGGAGGAGAGAATGTCCGAGGAAGATCGGCCACGATCAGAGGGGGGTCAGGGGGAGGGGGGAAGGCTCTTTAGAGGTACCCCCGCTTCTTAGGAGAGGCCGCGGGCCTCGTCCAGAGAGGTAAAGCTGGCGCCTTCTAGGGAGCAGCCTCCTTCTAAGAACCTTCCCCCCTCCCCCTGCCCACAGGAGGGATGGCTTGGTATTGGTCTCTGGTGGAGAGGGCAAGGAATTCCTCCTCCTCGAGGCGCTTCAAGCGGTCCCCCGCTTCTAAGTGTTTTTGGTTGGCCCCTGAAGAGCCCAACGAGGAGTGCTGCTCGTAGGGTCGAGCACCCAGGTGACGGTCGGACCGAGGTACAAGATCGAGGTCGGTTCGGGGAGGGTCCCCCAGTGTTCTTCGTGTTCGCTAGGTGTTCTTGTGCCTCCTGGGGGAGGGCACCCTAGCATGTTCTGTGTGTGTTTTGGCTGGCGGTGGTTCTCATGTCCTTGAAGGATTTGTCGGTCCTATGTCCGACCGAAGGATCTGGAGAATTGAGCATCCAGGTTGCGGCAGGGAGCTCTTGGACAGCGTGTCGCTCCGCCGGCTTTGGCGCACAACGCTTCGCTTCGCGACACCTGTCCTCCTCCTCCTCCTCCTCCTCCTCCTCCTGCTGCTCCTCCTCCTCCTCCTCCTCCTCCGCCTCCTCCTCCTCTCTGTTGCTCCTCCTCCTCCTCCTCCTCCTCCTCCTCCTCCTCCTCCTCCTCCTCCTCCTCCTCCTCCTCCTCTTCCCGGTCCCCAGGCGTCCACGTCTGGAGCTTCTCCGAGCCGCCCGCCCCGCGAAGCGGAGCGGCCAGCTGGCCGCTCGGAAGGCATAGCGTGTCGCCGTGGCCACCGCGGCGAGACGGCATCCCAAAGTTCCCGACCGTATAGAGGATCGAGGATCGACGTTCCTGGCTGCTTTTCACAAATCGCTGGTGCTTCAGAAGGCTCTGCGTCGCCACAAGGCGTCGCCACGGCTGGAGCCGTTGGCGAGTCCTGATCGACAAGCGCTCCTGGAGAGGTCTGGGTCCACTTGGAGTGGAGAGGGGGATGCAGGAGGGAGGAGGGAAGAGGGAGGAGGGAGGAGGGAGAAGGGAGGAGGAGGAGGAGGAGGAGGAGGAGGAGGAGGAGGAGGAGCAGGAGCAGGAGCAGCAGGAGGAGGAGGAGGAGGGAGGAGGAGGAGGAGGAGGAGGAGGGAGGAGGAGGAGGAGGAGGGGGAGGAGGAGGAGGAGGAGGAGGAGGAGAGGAGGAGGGGGAGGAGGAGGAGGAGGAGGAGGAGGAGGAGGAGGAGGAGGAGGAGGAGGAGCAGGAGGAGGGTTTTTTCTAGCAACTTGGCTTCCGCGGCATACACAAAGCACGCTCAAGCCACTACATTGTCGCACGCGGGGCCCTGGGCGGCGCATTGGCCGCCCAGGGACCCCACGGCGCCCCGCACACACGGCCTGCGGGCCGGGCCAGCCGAGCGGAACGGGGAAAAAACCCAAGCCGCGGCAGTCGGACTGCTGAGGACCTCCAGCGGTACGCTCAGCAAACCCGACCGCCGCGGCAACGACGACGACACGACAGAGAGGACGAGCCGCCAGGCACGACCCCAACACGGCGAGCCGGGAGAGGGAGACCCCCGACCCTGCTGGGGACTGCGCACCCGGCGACCCCCCGGGGGGAAGGGGACCGCGCTTTGGCGGCCATCCCCACCGGGTGCGGGAACTTTTCGCCCCTCGGGCCCAGCGCTCCCCGCCTGCGCCAGGAGAACCCTGGGGTCTCGACCCCACCCCCTACGGGTGAGGCCCCCCGAGGGAGGAGGGAGTAGGGAGGAGGGAGAAGGGAGAAGGGAGGAGGAGGAGGAGGAGGAGGAGGAGGAGGAGGAGAATGACATGCTGATACGTCTGCCGTTCCTCTGCTTTCGCCTCTCGGGGCCTTCTCTCGGGGGCCCTCGCCGCCACAGCTGGGCCGGATGCTCTCCCCGATTTTGAGGGCGCCCAGGGACAGCTCCGGGTCATCCTTCCAGGACGCGGTCCGAGGCCAAGGCGAAGGTGGCGGAGCAGATCGCGCAGCCCGTGTTCCTCCTCATGAGCAGCCCCGCCGAGCAGAAGGTGAGCTACACGCTGCTCCAGGACCCCGAGGTGCCCGCCGCGGCGATCCTGCCGCTGATCGACTCGGGCCTGGGCGAGCCGCACGGCATCGCCTACGACCCGATCGGCAGCATCCTCTACGTGGCAGATTTCGCGGAGGAGGCCATCTTGTGCTACCGCATCGGGGTGCAGAAGTGCGCCAGGAACGACTGCACGCTGGAGTACGAGCTGGTCGTTGACAGCGTGCAGATGCACGTGGCCTACTCGGTGAAGACATCCTGGGTCTCGTTGGACCACTACGGCAATTTGTTCTACAGCGACGAAGCCAAAAAATCGATCAACCGGATCGACATCATGCTTCTCAGGAAGATCCACGCTGGCCTCGTTACTGGCGAGCAGCTCAAGCACTCGCACGAGTCTCAACTCGCCAAGGCCGCAGGCGCGACGCCAGATCAGGCGAAGAAGGTCACCATAACGTCTGAGTACCTGGAGCTGATGGAGACTAGCATCGTGTCGCTCTACGAGGCGGGCGCGGGCGCGAATATAGGGACGCCGGCCGGCGTGGCATCCGATGGTGTCGAAGTGTTTTGGACCAACCAGGAGGGCGGCATCGTAAATGGCTCTGTCACGGGTGGCCTTGTAGAGCCACAGGCTATATCTAAGACCATCACAGTGGCGAACGTGACAGCGAACGCGTATGGTATCGCATTGACGAGTACCCAGGTTTTGTTCACGGATAAGGAGAATTTCGTTTATATTGTGAGCAAGAGTGGTGGCGCAGTGACAGCTCTTACTTCCGGATTGCACTCACCACGTGGACTCGTGTGGAACGGCTACTACACCTCCTTCGTCGCCGACTCGGGCTCCGACGCTGTCTTCAGCTTCCCCACGGGCGATGCATCCGAGAACCAGCCTTTGCAGCTGATTGCCAGTTTCCACGACCCTTTCGGCATCGCGCTGATCAAGGTCGGAGACTGGCAGCTAAGCATCACATCACCAGCCCTGACCAGGCCCATCTCGTGCCCTGGATTCGTGTGTTGACCCCCTGGCCGATGCCACGAGCGTTCACGAACCCTTCCAGGGCCCGGGATGGGCATGGCCAGTGGACCGGCTGCTCGCCGACAGCAAGTTTTTTTCTCGGGAATCCAGATCCCAGTCTGCTTCAAGCGCCCTCCTTTTTCAAGCATCGACGGTTTGCGCGTGTGTGCTACCTTGATCGCCCCCTACGTTCGGATCGAGGTATAGGATCGAGGTCGGCTCCGTGAGGGTACCCTAGTTTTCTTCGTGGGTGTTGGATGTTCTTGTGCATCTTAAGAAAAAAACACCTGGATGTACAGTGTGTTTTGGCGGGGGAGGGTCTCATGTTCTTGAAGGATGTTCTTCTGTTCTAGGTCCGGCTGTACCGTGATTGCCCCTTGCTTGAGCGTGCCGAGGCCCAAAATGCACACTTCTACTCTACGCTTCTACCAGCTTCTTTCGAACGAGGAGGATGCGCAGGAGATGGAGCAGGACGACGAGGAGGAGGAGGAGGAGGACGAGGAGGAGGGGCTTCCGAGGAGGAGGAGGAGGAGGAGGAGGAGGAAGACGAGGAGGAGGGGCTTCTTTCGAACGGCTTATAGTCATAGTCGGCTGCCGGGCTCCGACGAGGCGACGGATCCGGCGTTCGCGCGGCTCCAGGCGCGCAGCGCGGCCGGAGGTCTCCGTGCTGGGCTCGGGCTCTGGCTGGTCGCGGCCTCCGCGCTCCGCGGGCGCCACGCGTGAGCCGCCCGGGGCCCGCTCCCACGAGCGCAGCGCCGCGCGGCGGCGTGCAGGGCAGGCGCGGAGGCCACAAAGGGCACGTGCCAGAAGAGGAAGGGGCAGCTCGAGATGCTCGTCAGCATGGTGTTGTGTGGGAGAGGTGGGGGCGGAGGAGGAGGAGGAGGAGGAGGAGGAGGAGGAGCAGGAGGAGGAGGAGGAGGAGGAGCACGAGGAGGGGCAGGAGGAGCACGAGGAGGGCAGGAGGAGGAGGAGGGAGGAGGAGGAGGAGGAGGAAGATAAAGAACGACGAAAGAGGACAGAGGAAGGGGAGATGAGGAAAAGAAGATAGAGGAAGGGGTAGCAAGAGGGGAGTGGGATGGGGGAGGGCGAGTGTGTGGGAAAGTCGGAGGAAGAGGAGGAGACGAAGGGGCGATCGATGGGAGGGGATAGAGAAGGGTCACGAGAGGGAGCGGCGAGGCGGGCGCGAGGGGGGGCAGGAGGGGGGACGAGGGGGGGAGGAGGGGGGGAGGAGGGGGGGCAGGGAGGGAGAAGGCAGAGGGAGGAAGAGGCAGAGGGAGGAGTCGTCAGAGAGCACGCGTCAGAGGCCCTTCGCCTGTACCGGGCCGCTCTGGCTCGAGGCCTGGCGCGAAGAGCGCGCCTGCGACGCAGCGAGACTCGCAGCGCATTCCCGCGGCGGTGCTCCTCCTCCTCCTCCTCCTCCTCCTCCTCCTCCTCCTCCTCTTCCCCCTCCTCTTCCCCCTCCTCTGCCTCCTCCTCCTCCTCCTCCTCCTCCTCCTCCTCCTCCTCCTCCATCTTGTCCTTCCCCCAGTTTCCTCCTGCTCATCCGTCCTCTTCCGCTGTCCTCCTCCGTCCTCATCTTTACCTTCATCATCGTCATCATCAGCATCATCATACAGCGACTTGTCGGCATTTGTGGCAACACCGCGGCCGTATTCCCTTGCTCAAGTTCTAAAGGAACGCAAGCATTCATTCTTTGAGCGGGTCAACGCCGACCTCACAGTGCCCTCTCCGCTGCCATCACCGTGCGCGGCAGCTCGACGCCCTTCTTCGATTGCGTCTGCTCTCCTGCGCTGGCCTGCCCAGCGGTGGAGCGCCGCTGCTCGACTGGCAAGGATCGCTGGCTTCTGCCCAGCCGACAGGCTGGTCAATCGAGTTCGTGGTCGTGCTCGTGGTGGGTGGCTTCGCGTACGGCAGCGTCGTTGGCGGCTACTGCTTCAAGAGCTCGCTGACGGCCCCCGCGGTGCAGCCTGCACCCGCTCCAGCATCGCTTCAGGAGGCCGCGGACACTCGACCTCGCGAGTGCGGCGACTACCCAGGCGAGGAAGTTCCGCCTTCAGGTGGAATGGCTGCTCGCGCCGCTGGACAGTTCCACTACTTTCGGTACAACGTCGGGGCGCCCGCTATCCTCCACGAGAGACTCAGTCTGCTGCCTGGGTACATCCTTACCCCTGACGATGAGGTATATGCTGAGAGCGACTCGGCAGGTGGTGACTCGAGAGCTGTGCATGACTCGGCGGGCCATGGCGACGCGATCGTCGGCGTCGCCGCCAACAAGCTCTACAAATTCAGGCGGCTGCCGTCTGCAGCCGTCGCCTGGGCTGCTGCGCGTAGCGGCGTCGCCCAGGGCCATGGGCCTCTGGCGCCGTCGCCCTTCATCCTCGAGCTCAGCGCCGACAACGTGCTGGGCGTGGCGAAGGGGGTCCTGGCCGTGTTCGACCCGCTCGGAGCGGCCCCCGCCGCCGCCGCGCCTGGCGCCCTGGCCTTGGCTGGCGCGGCCGCGCCCCCCGCGGGCGCCCCTGGGCCGCCTGCCGCGTCTGCCGCTACGCCTGTGGGCGGGCTGGGTGCGCTGGCCGCGGCGCTCGGTGCGGGGGGGGCCGCCCTCCCTGCCGCCGCTGGCCCTCCGGGCGTCGGCGCCGCCGCCGCGGCCCCCGCGGCCCCAGGCGCCGCAGGGTCTGATCCCCGCGTGCTGGCCACCGTCCTCGACGCGCGGGGGGTGCGGGACATGCCTGTCAGGGACGCTGTCAAGCGCCAGACCGAGACCCCCCGCGCCGACTGGCCCGTGAAGGGCCTAACGACCACGACGCGGGTGCTCCACTTCATGTTCCGCATGGCGGGCGGGGCGACGGCGTGGCTCAACCGCTGGATGGCCATTAAGCAGGCCTCAGAGACGGACGACACCGACAGGCTGCACGAGACGCTGAGCCGCGTCGTCGAGACCTCGCTCTGCCACGACCAGCTGATCATCTGCGAGTTGTCTTCCTACGAGTTCCTATCGCGGCAGCTGCTGATGGTGGAGGAGCGTTTCTTTGAGGAGCGCGCGCGCAGGACTCACCCTGCGCCCAAGGCCAAGGGCCAGGCCAAGGACGGCGCCGCGGCCGCGGCCGCCGACGTTTCCTCCGAGCTTGGCCACTTCTTCGGCACTGGAGAGACCATGGGCAACTTGTGCATTTTCCCACCCGTAATGGATTGGATCGCTGAGCAGATGAAGAGTGAGGCTGCCGTTGCGAAGGAACGCCGCAAGGCTCGCGAGGAGCGGGCCTTGCGGCAGCCATGACGTTCCCGAAGGACGCTGGTCAGGAGGGGCCTCACGACGCGCCACCTGCTCGTGAGCCTGGCCAGCTTGGCCCCGAGCCCGTCGAGGCCCCACCTGGCTTGGAGTTGCCCACACGAGGTGACCATCGCCAGCGTGACGTTTTTCCGCTTCCTCTTCTTCCAGTGGATGGGCGTCGCCATCTTCCGCTTGGTCGCGGGGCTCGTCTGCGCGCCGCCAAAGGCGCGGGCTGGAGAGAGTGGTGCAACGAGGGATTGTCTGCTCTCAACTGGCTCCACTGCGGCAAGGACGAGCCTTCCATGCCTGACGAAGGGGGGCCACCGCCCGCGGCCCAGGCAGCTTCCGTGGACTACATCGCGGGCTTGCACCGCGACTTCGAGCTGCCCGCCGCCTACTCGGAGAGAGGCCGCGATTGCGAAGCATCCCTCGTAGAGATGCTCGCACAGGCACCCGGCTACGCTGGTGACAGCGGTCGAGTGCGCCCCTACAGCATGCCGCTTGTGGCCTGGCCCGAGTCGACGAAGGCAGTCTCCACCTGCGGCGTCGTCTCCGAGGCCGACTCCATCGTGCTGCAGGATTGGAGGCAGAGTATGCTGAATCCCGAGTCGGTGGCGGCGGAGCTGCGCGATTCGCCGGGGGTTATCCGCCCTTATGTCGATCCTGAGCTGCGCTTTAAGCCGAAGTCCTACGCTGAGTTTTTGAAGCAGCTGGAGGCCCATGGCATGATCACCTGGCGGGGTTCCAGCGAACAGGCATCCTTCTCTACTGGTCTCTTCTTCGTGCAGAAATCAAACGGCAAGCTGAGGTTGGTGTTCGACACCAGGCTGGCCAACTGCAGTTTCTCGTGCCAACCAGCCACTCGTCTGCCCACGCCCAGCGCGCGGGCCAGTCTCGACTGCGACGACAGTTTTTATTTCGCGCAGGGCGACATTCAGTGTTTTTTTTATCATTTACGACTGCCAGCTGGCATGGAGTCGTTGTTCTCTCTGCCACCGATAAACAACAGATTCATCGGCCTCAAGTCGGTCAACGGGGTTCGTCTTGGCATCAACGACTGCGTCCAGCCTCTTGTCACGGTCGTTCCCATTGGGTGGAGTTGGGCCCTTCACCTGTGCCAGAGTGCGCTGACGAGAGCCCTGTCGGATGTCGGGTTCGGCCGCGACGGTATGAGTCTGGATGGGGGCTGCCCTCGGCCCTTGGTCGCTGAGAAGGACGCGGTGTGTGCAGGATACGTTGACAACTTCTGTGTCGTATCCAAGTGCGCCGAGACAGCCACGTCCCTGGCGCGTGCCGTTGCTGACCTTCTCACGGCCCGCGGGCTGCCTGTCTTGGAATTCTCCCCTGCGGTCAGTAAGGGGGTATTCACGGGCTTGGAGATCGACGGAGCCTCTGGGATCATTCGTGTTCGTCCTGACCGCCTCGCTCGCACTCGTCAAGCCGTTCTCGGGCTTTTGAAGCGTGGGCGGGCCTCTGCTGGGGCCCTCAGCGTGCTCGTAGGCCACTGTACTTGGGGGGTGATCCTGAGGCGCGACGTTCTGAGCATCTTTAACGCGGTCTATCGGTTCATGGGGGCTGTGGGACCTCATCCTGGACCCCTGTGGCCCTCGGTCGTCAGGGAGTTGTCGGCTGCCGTGGCCCTCATCCCGCTCTGGAGTGCCTCTACAAGGTCTCGCTGGTATTCGCGGGTCTATGCTTCTGATGCGTCGCCGTACGGGAAGGGTGTCTGTGTCAAGGAGGTCCCCCCCACGCTGTCGTCCGAGGTCGGCCGAGTCGCCGAACGCTGGAGATATCGTCATGGGGATGCCGTGCTTGCCAGATCACATGCCCTTGACGTCGACGGTCGAGACGATGCTGCCGACGGTTGCCGTGCCGTCACATCGTCTACTGCCTCTACTGCTTCGTCGTCTGGGCCCAGTGGGTTCCTCGAGGTCCCTGAGTCCATCTACGGGGCCGAGGGATGGAAGACCATACACTCTAGCCGTCATACCCGCCGTGGCTGCGATATCCTTCAGTACGAGGCGGAGGCCCTGGGGTTCAGCGTCCATCATGCCTCGGGGGCCCTGGGTGCCCATCATCATCGCGTCGTCTGCATCGTGGACAATTTGGCTCTAGCTCTGTCGCTCGGCAAGGGGCGGTCTGGGAGCCGACATCTTCTTCGCGCCCTGCGGCGGATCGTTGGCGTGGCACTCGCCTGCGGCCTGCGCCTGCTCGTGCGGTGGGTGCCGTCAGAGAGGAATGTCGCGGACAAGCCGTCGAGGGAAGGTTTCTTCGTCGGCCCTAGCTTCGAGGACGTCGGGTCGCACCTCGTCGCGCGCCGCCCGCGGATCCCCCAAGGAGGTGATCAAGGCTGCGAGGGCCAGGCGGGGACATCCTGGTCCGCTGACGCTCCTGCGGGGCGGACTGTCGGTGCTGGAGGCCAACGCGGTCTCGGAGTCGACGGGCAAGAACTACCACGCCTCCGCCCTCAGGTTTCTGAACTGGTGCCTCTGGACCGCCCGGGACTTCAAGAACAGCGTCGAGCTCGACACGATCCTCGTGGTGTTCTTCGTCCACCTCTTCCTCGACGGCCACGACAGTGCGACGGGCCGCGTCACGATGGCCTCTCTGAAGCACCATCTGCCGTCGATGCTGATGGGCAGCCGCCCGCTGCCACGGGCCTTTCGGGCCCTTCAAGGTTGGACGAAGCTCGTGCCGCCGCAGATGAGGCTGCCGCTGCAGAGGGTCGCGATGTTCGCCATCGTGGGCGCGCTGCTGTCTCAGGGGCTTTTGTCGCAGGCGGTCTTCGTGAGGATCGCGTTCGACACGTACCTCCGCCCCAGCGAGGCCTACCATCTCACGGCGGCCTCCCTGATCGCGCCGAGGTCGGGCGCCACGGAGGGCCACCAGCACTGGGCACTGTTAGTGAACGACGCGGCGAGCGGGGGGCCTGGCAAGACGGGGGTCACCGACGAGAGCGTCATCGTCGACGATCCGCTCCCCTGGCCTCTCCTCGAGGCGCTTCGGCAAGGACGCCGCGCGGAGGAGAGCCTCTGGGCCTTCACGCCGCACCAGCTGCGGCGCGCTTTCGCGGGGGCCCTGGTCCAGCTCGGGATCTCCGACCAGCAGACCTCCCTCTACTCGCCGCGCCACGGGGGGGCCTCCGACGACCTCCTCTCGGGTCGCCGCACGAGGAAGGAGGTCAAGGACCAGTCTCTGAACAGGTACGCCAAGCGGGCGCGCATGCAGCAGCGGCTGGGTCAGCTCGACCCCGCGCTGGTCGACTTCGGGCAGAAGGTCGAGAGCGATTTGCTGGGCCTGATGGACGTGATGGCGAGGGCGGGCATCTTCTCGCTGCCGCTGCCGCCCCTCAGGCCGGTGTCGGCGTCGGCGCCGGTGCAGGCGCCTCCCGCGATGACCGACAAGTGGCTCTTCGTGTGAGGCGCCTGTGGCTACATGCGCGGGCGCATGCCACAGTGATGCCGTACCTCATCATGCTCTGCACCTGTGTCCCCGACCGAGTTCGGCGAGTGTGCGAGGCCCGCGGGCTCGGCACCGTTGCGGTGAACGTTGCTCGACATCGCCTCGACGACCTCGCTGACCCTCAGGTTCTGAAGTCTCTGACTGGCTGGGTGCGCGCCTCGGCTGTGCTCGGAGTCTGGGCGTCCTTGCCCTGGGACACCTGGGCGCCAGAGGCGTCGCGTGTCCGCAAGTTTGACTCTCTGCTGCACGTGAATAGAGCCTCAGAGGCCGCCTGTCGCGCCGTGCGAGTGGCAAACGCGTTGGCTGAATCCACCTTCAAATTGATTGCGGAGTGTATCTTCCGCAGAGTCCCGATCATTTTTATGCACCCTGTGTCGAGCCTCATTTGGGGGCATCCCCGCCTGTCCCCTCTCCTTGCCTCTTCCTCCTCCTCTTGCCCCCTCGACGCGTGCATGTATGCGGGGCGCGTGAGACAGCGAATCCACCTCGTCAGATGGAGCGTGCGGGATCTTGATTGCCTCGCTCGTCGTCGCCTCTGCGCCCATGGCCTCTGTGATCGCACTCTGAGACGTCACCTGGGAGGCCTGGGACGTCCAGCACTGGGCGCCGTAGCTCGTGCCTCTGCTAAGGGTCTCCCCTCGGAAGTGGCCATTGCTGGCACTGAAATGATAGTGGCCGGAGCTCGTCATCTGTCCCGCGCCGCGAGATATAAGGAAATGTTTGGTCAATGAGTAATTCGGCTGTGGCCACCTGGGTAGACTAGCGAGTGGTACCGCGTCTGTGCTTCACTGCTGGCGTATCCCTCGAGGCCGCCCTCCGCCGCTTGCACAAAGAAGAAACAAGATGGCCCCGAATCGTCCACATACAGCGACTTGTCGGCATTTGTGGCAACACCGCGGCCGTATTCCCTTGCTCAAGTTCTACCCTGGGCCCCCCCACCCACTTGAGCTTTTAATGTTTCACCGTGTCTGTGCTTCACTGCTGGCGTACCCCTCGAGGCCGCCCTCCGCCGCTTGCACAAAGAAGAAACAAGATGGCTCCGAATCGTCCACATGATCATCATCATCATCATCGTCATCATAATCATCATCATCCTCATCCTCATCATCAACACACTCATCATCATCATCATCATCATCATCATCAACATCATCATCATCAGCAGCATCATCATCAGCATCATCTTCAACATCATCAGCATCATCATCAGCATCATCATCAGCATAATCATCATCAACATCATCCGTGCTCCTCCTGCTCCTCCTCCTCGTCCTGCCATTTGTCCTCCACCTCCTCTTTATCCTCATTCTGATCATTTCCCTCTAGCCCCGTCCTTATTCATCTTCCGTCCTCGTCGTTCCTTTCTCCTCTGCGCTTTCTCTTCCTCCATCGTCCTCCTCCTCCTCCTCGTCCTGTTCCTCTTTCCCATCATCCTTCTCCTCTTCCATCTCTCACTTAAACGTATCTCCGATTCGCCTCGACACTCGACGTGTCGGTGTGGGACCTCACTGGCCATGGCCCTGAAGCTGGAACATTTCAACGGTTACGCGGATGGGTGGTGGGCTGGTTCCGATGTGTGGCTCTGGCCGTATCGCCACGCAAATGTGTTTTTCAATGTGTACAGCTGATACGCGGATGTTGGGTGGCTGGCTTTCGAAACGCGCATTCCCGCAGAAGCGCCACTCACATTAGTTCTACAGCTTCGGACGGTTACACGGGTAAAGCGCGGTTCCTCTCCAACATGGAACTCTCGCGTGCGATTTTCGTTGGTTTTACCCAGAGGGTGGCTCTCAACATTGGGCTTGCGCTTTGGGCTTCGCCAGTAATTCACGGATGGACGGATGCACGGATGGAGGGCGCTTCGTCCTCAAAGCGGGGTTCTCGCCTAAATGACGGGCCCATGGGGGCGCTCGACTTTCAAGCGACTCCCGTAGTGAAAATCATTGCTGTGAGGGTGCAGAAGTCGGTGTCTTGGGGCCGGACGGTGTGCTTGCATGGACCTGCAGAAGAAGCGACCTGGGACGGGAGGATGTACGGCAGCAGCGTGACCGCATCCTGGGCTTCCTCCCGGTGCCCCTCCTCCCAGCTCCTCTCCCGCCCTCCCTCCCATGGTTCCTCCCTTCTGATTCCTCTAATTTCTCCTCCCTCCCCTCCTAATTCCTCCCCTCTAATTCCTCCTCCCCTCTAACTACCCCCCTCTAATTCCTCCTCCCCTCTAATTGTTCCCACTGCTCCTCCCCTCTAATTCCTCCTCCCTCCCCCCTTCCGCATCCCTCCTCTTCCACCCCCTCTCAAGCCATCTCCTCCTCTTCCACTCCTCCTCCTCCACCTCCATCCCTGGCGAGGTGGTTCTGCCAGCGCCATGCCCGACAAGTCCGACAACCCCATGCGCCAGATCAAGGCTGGGGGATCCCCTCTTCCCCATACCTCCTCCACACTCTCCCCTTCCCAGCCTTTCAATGGCGAAGTTCGGCCACCACGAGGCCGCAAGGAAGGCAATCCGCTCATGTGTCGCCTCCTTCCCCTTTGACTCCTCTTCTCTTCATGCATGTCATCCTCAGCCCTCTTCCGTCCTCCTCCCCTTCCATATGCGGTATCATTATTATCTTGTCATTGTCAGTATGCCTTATCTCTTCTTATCACCGTCATCTGTCATCCGCCGTTTTCCTTTGCTAATATCTTCCCCCCTCCTCTCTAAAGCCTCTCTCCTCCTTCAGCCCTCCCTCCCTCTCCTCCTCCCCCTCCTCCTCCTTCTCTTCCTTCTCCTCCCTCCTCCTCCTCCTCCTCCTCCTCCTCCTCCTCCCTCCTCCTCCTCTCCTCCTCATCATCATCATCATCATCATCATCATCATCATCATCATCATCATCATCATCCTCCTTCCCTCGTCTAAGATTATGCTCCTCATCATCATCCTCCCTCCTCCTCCTCCTTTTCCTCCTCGGACTCGGACTCCTCCTCCTCCTCCTCCTCCTCTTCCTCCTCCTCCTCCTCCTCCTCTTCCGTTCCCTCCTTCACTTCCTCCTCCTCCTCCTCCTCCTCCTCGATTCCCCTAGTTAACGCATGCTGCTTGCAGCATCTCCGCACCCGGACGGCTCGCTAGCTACGCGCACCTATGGCATCCCACCGCTTCCTCGCTCATCAGTCCTCTCTACTCGTGGCTTCGCGTCCTTTCTCTACATCCTTCACCTCTGCTGTTCATTGGTTTCCCCCCCCACCCTCCTCCAGTCCTCCTGGTTGAGCCTCCTCCTCCTCCTCCTCCTCTTCCTCATCCTCCTCAGCCTCAGCCTCATCATCATCATCATCATCATCATCATCATCATCATCATCATCATCATCATCATAAGCAGCAGCAGCAGCATCAACATCATCGTTATCATCATCATCATCAGCAGCAGCATCATCACCATCATCAGCAGCAGCATCATCATATGTATAGTCATCTTCATCCTCATCTTCAACAACACCAACAACAACGACAACCGCAGTAACATCAGTATCCTCATTATCACCATCACCAGTGTCATCATCCTCATCAGCATCATCATCACCATCGTCATCATCATCATCATCATCATCATCATCATCATCATCATCAGCAGCACCATCATCATCATCGTCGTCATTGTCATCATTATCATCATCAGCAGCAGCAGCATCGTCGTCATCATCATCATCATCATACTGCGGATTATTATGGATTTCCTCGTCTCTTTCCCTCCTCTCCTCTGCTCTCCGCTCCGCTCCTCCCCTCTCCAATACAGCTGCATCGAGGTGGAGAAGCTGACCCTCAACATCAGCGTCGGCGAGAGCGGCGACCGTCTCACGCGCGCGGCTAAGGTGCTGGAGCAGCTGACCGAGCAGCAGCCCGTGTTCTCGAAGTGCCGCATGACGATCAGGTCATTCGGGGCGGGGGGGTGGGAGCGGAAAGGGGATGAAGAGGTGGAATGGACGAGGAGGGATGGATGCGGAGGAGGGGCGGGATGGGGGACAGGAGGAGAAGGGGTGGATCAGGGGAAGAGAGGAGGGATGAATGGAAGGGAGGCGAGGGATGTAGAGAACAGTGGGGGAGTGGGGGTGGGAAGGGGGCGGAAGGGGGGGGGAGGGGGGGACGGAGTGCAGGTCTTTCGGCGTCCGCCGCAACGAGAAAATCGCCTGCCACGTGACAGTGCGTGGTGAAAAGGCAGAGGACATCGAGAGGGCCGAAATCGGGAACTGAAATGTGGCAATGACGGACAGCAGTTTTTGTCCATTTCCGAAACATGTAGCTTCCGGGTTTGCGGCGAGCGCCGTCAGCTCAAAAAGTGGATCTTGCTTGTGCGAGAGCAGTCGTTGACGGTTTCGGGCAGTATTCGCTGCTTGGCACTGTCTCCATCAGTCTTATGCGTTTTCGGGCGTGCCAGAAAGGAGATTCTGGAGAAGGGGCTCAAGGTGAAGGAGTACGAGCTCGTGAAGAGGAACTTTGCGAAGAATGGCAGCTTCGGATTCGGAATCACGGAGCACATCGACCTGGGCATCAAGTACGACCCGAGCACTGGCATCTACGGCATGGACTTCTACGTGCACCTCTCTCGCCCCGGCAACCGCGTGATGTTTCGGAAGCTCAAGCGCGGCAAGGTCGGATTCGCGCACAGGTTGAAGAAGGACGACGGCATGAAGTGGTTCCAAACGAAGTTCGATGGCATCATCCTCAACAAATGATCCAGGACCACATGTGGCAGAGAGAGGATGCGTTCGAGGTAATGACGAGCAGAGTCACATTTGCTTGCGGAGCTGGTAAAATGTGTGTGTTGCTTGGCCCCGAGATGTATCTGCACGCATGTACGTATGTTAGGACGCACACACTGCTTGCACTCAGGGGTTGCGTGTACTTCCGGGAACTGGCCGTTGTCTGCAAGGGTCGGACCGCTTCATGGGAGCTAGACGCGGGTTGAACGTAGACTTGGGCATTGGTTGGGCCGTTGTTGTGGACGAGGATTTGGACGCGGGTTGGGACTATTTGGACGTGAGTTTGGACAGGTCTGGACGTGGGTGATGCGCATGTTTGGTCGGGGGCTAGGACTCGACACAGGACTACGCACATAGGGTTCACACATCGGCGTTGCACCTTTAGGGATCCACGCATAGGTCTACACGTCTAGGATGCCTCCCGAAGGAGCAGCGAGGAGGAAGAAAGAGGGGGAGGAGGGAGGGAGGAGGAGGAGAAGAAGGGAGGAGGAGGACGAGAAGGAGGGATGATTGCCAAGTACGCTGTAGACCGAAAAGGTACAGAAATAATATTCAAGGATGGCGCGACCATCAGAAACAACTAAGCGGGGGCGACCCCCAGCGGCTGCAGTTAGTCCGCCTCCCTGGCGCACGGTGCAGAGACTGGATGTCCTCATTCGTTTTATTCACCGTAGGCCACGTCCTCGAAGTCGCGAAAATGGCCGAAACCTTGCCACGAGTGGTCTACGGGGATCTCTATCCATGGGGATGGGGGCATCCGTTGCCCCCATTGAGTGATTCGGCCATACTTCGAAAACCCAGCGGCTGAGGTTGAATTTATGAACGGGAAGGATAACATCCATAACCCCATATCGTACGCTACCGTTCGCGACCATGCTTCGAGAATGCCCTGGATGAGACTTTCCAGCAGGCTTTCAAAGCGGGTAACCGGATGCGTATGGAGGATGGCAAGTGGCATTCAGAAGGTTGTTGGTGAAAAAGTGCAGATTCGCACGTGTGTGATCCCATGGTGCAAAGAAGGGCTATGTTTGTTTTTATTGTCAGGCTATCTCTGGTTGGTTGGATGAGGCATGGAGGAGAAGGCGGAGGAGGAGGGATGGCGGCGTGAGGAGTGAGGAGGAGCGTCGGGATCTGATTATGATGAGGATGTTGCCTTCACAGAGCATTGACCATCATCCTCGACACAAGGCCCCCTTGACTCACAGTCAGAGATTTGGAGTAATAAGTGGAGAGTATGTACACACCCGACTGAGCCCGTAGACTGGTGGACCATTCTGGCCCACTACGCGGTACCCAGCCTCTCCCCGCCAGTGTGGCTACAGAAGACCGCTAGAGCTTTCAAAGCTCAGACATGCCAACAGCATGTGTGCCCTCATCTTATATTGCGAATCCGAGTGGAGGGGGGCATCTCAATCTTGTATTTGTCGTCACTCTTGTTCTCCCGAGGCCCGAATCCTGAAGATGTCTTCCGCGGGGGCCTCGCCAGTGAATGACCTGCGAAACAGATCCTCGAGCGGGAGCCCCTCGCATGGGGTCCCCAGCAGATGTTTCCATCCGCGGGGATGTCTAGATCCCAGGGCTGGACCTAAACGGTATTTTTGGCGATTTCGTGGGCCGTTCTCGTTTCGACTTCGTTTTGCGGTAGAGGTGGATTGAAGACAAAACGAGGGAAAACGAAAACAAAACGAAAACGGAAAACACCGTTTAGGTTCAGCCCTGCTAGATCCTGCATGATCCTGTAGTGTCGTCGCTGTGGGCCCCCTGAGGCCCGAATATCGAAGAAGTCTCGAGCGGGAGCATCGCCTCCGAGTGCAATGCGAGGCAGTCTCGAGCGGGATCCCTTCCCTATGAAGCCCCCCCGTTGTGTTCACAAGCCGAGAGGGCCATCCATTTGATGTCATTGTCGTCATTCTTGGGTTCTTGAGGTTGAGTCTTGAGGAAGTCTCGAGCGGGAGCTTCGTTTGTGAGCGAATTGCGAGGAAGTGTCGAGCGGGAGCCCCTCCGAATGGGGCCCCCAGCTAATGTTTCCAATCCGCGGGGAGGCCCAGATCCTGTAATGTCGTCACTTTGGGGCCCCGGAGGCTTAAATATTGAAGAAGTCTCGAGCGGGAGCCTCGTCTCTGAGTAATTGCGAGGGGTTCTCGGGCGTGGACAGCGCCACGACTGAGACTTGGAGGCGCGGACTGTTGTCTTCCTCAAGGGTCCTCATTTTCATGCAGGCGCCTCGGTGGGCAGTTGACGGCCACTAATTGAGACTGAAACACCACTTTCTGAGCCAGCTCTTCGTACGTAGGCCTTGCCCAGCTGCCCGAGCTCCGACTACATGGCGGGTGGTGGCCGCAAGGCTTCGAGCTGCGCACGACACCGTCCTCCTCCAGCTCAGCAATCGAGAGGCCCGGGACGGACTTCCCTTTATCCTGAGCCTGAGCACCTTGAACACCTGGAGCTCTGGCTGCTTGATCTCGCCCTGGAAGTGGCAACTGTGACGCCCCGTGCGCTCACGAGTGCTGCCCAGAGAATGACCACGTAGTCTCGGAGGGCCCCGCGGCGCCTGCAGAAACATTCCAGTTGCCAGTGCCCGCACCAGCAGGATGAGCAGACCCATCATGATGATGATGATGACGATGATGATGATGATGATGATGATGATGATGATGATGATGATGATGATGATGATGATGATGATGATGATGATGATGATGATGATGATGATGATGATGATGATGATGACTGATGCTGATGCTGATGCTGATGATGATGTTGATGTTGATGTTGATGTTGATGTGATGTTGATGTTGATGTTGATGTGTGATGTTGATGATGTTTGATGATGATGAGGAGGAGGAGGAGGAGGAGGGGGAGGAGGGAGGGGGAGGGGGGAGGAGGACGGGGGGAGGGGGAGGGGGGGAAGGACCATGGTGACCAGGAGCGAGAGCAGGCCACACCTCGCGCCACGGGGGAGCGGAGGCCCATTCCCACCGCCGCCGCCACTGCCCGCCACGAGCCCCAAAAAGGGCGCTGTCGAAACGGGAGCCCCGATGGGAGCAGGATGCAGGAAGGAGAAAGGCCCATCAGCCTGAGAGATGGGAGCGTGACGGGTCCCTCAGCCTGAAGCAAAAGCACAGAGACCCACAACAGCAGCTCGCCGTTCGAAACAGATGTTGATGCAACCGCAAGCAGAAAGCCTGAGCCAGAACGGCTTGGCGAGGAGGAGGAGGAGGAGGAGGAGGAGGAGGAGGAGGGGGAAGGAAGCAGGAGGAGCAGGAGAGCAGGGAGGTGTGGTAGAAGGAGTAGAAGCACGATGAGGAGGAGTAGGAGGATGAGGAGGAGGAGGAGGAGGGGAGGATGAGGAGGAGGAGGAGGAAGCAGGAAGGAGGAAGCAGGAAGGGAAGGAGAGAGGACGAGGAGGCGGGCGAGGAGGGGAGGAGAACGAGAGGCGAGAGGAGCGAGGAGAGGGAGGAGCAGGAGGAGCAGGGGAGGAGGAGAGGGAGAGAAAGAGGAGGAGGAGGAGGAGGGGAGGAGGAGGAGGAGGAGGAAAAGGGGGAAGAGGCAGGAGGCATGAGGATGCAGGAAAGAGGAGGAAGAGGCAGGAGAGTGCAGGAGAGAGGAGGAGGCAGGAGGAATGGGCAGGCACGCAGCGACCAGCCGTGCCCTGTGGTGGTCGAATGGGTTTGAGGCAAGGCGTACAAATGTTAGCTGAGGATCTCCTCCTCCTCCTCCCTCGTCCTCCCTCCTCATCCCTCCTCCTCCCTCCTCCCTCCTCCCTCCTCCTCCTCCTCCTCCTCCTCCTTCTCCTCCTTCTCCTCCTTGCTCGCTCGGAATCGGGTCAGGTTACTCTTGTATCAGGCGATCGCAAATATGGATGAAAGGGGCGTGGATTAGCGACGGGTCCCGTTTCCACGGGAAATCGCGGACTTCCGCCGCCGAACGAGGCGGCACCGGCAGCATTTTGGGCAGGGCACCTCCCCCGATGCACCCGATTTTAGGATGCGGCGATCTTCGCGACCAGCCTGATTCCCCACCCAGGGCCTGATTTCCCACCCAGGTTTCGGGTGTCAGAGCCTCCTCCAGGGAGCGTCCGTAGAGTGCATGCCGTCTCTGGAGGTCTGCCTGCTGCTCCGCCCCTGCAGGGCTTCCAGTGGCGGTCACAGCAGGAGGGCCACCATCGGCCCCGAAGAACCACCGAGAGATCAGCCTTGGGCCTCTGGAGGCCCTGGCGCCCGGCGGCGCACGAGGGCGCGCGCTCGCCTTGCGATGCAAGGGTGGGCCTCCTCGAAGCCGAGACCGGGCGGCGCCGCAGGTCCCGGGTCGCCAGGATGCAAGCCTGGGCGGGCCCTGGAAGCTCGCTCTTTGGTCTCGGCAGGGCCTACCGAGGTCTCGCACCCATGTCCGAACGGGTCACCCGGAGGAGGAGGAGGAGGAGGAGGAGGAGGAGGAGGAGGAGGAGGAGGAGGAGGAGGAGGAGGCAGAGCAGGGTCTGTCCCTCGATGGCGCGTGACCGTGGGCCCATCACGTCGGCCTCAAGCAGCCGTGGCCCGGAGCTCCAGCTGCCGCCGCGGCCGATCTGGGAGGAGGAGGAGGGGGAGGAGGAGGAGGAGGAGGAGGAGGAGGAGGAGGAGGAGGAGGAGGAGGGGGAGGAGGAGACATCAACATCGACCTGGGACATCAGGAGGAGGCGTCACCGCGCTTCCCCTGGACGGCAGGGGCTCAGGCAGCCCAGGGACGGTGCCAAGCAAACTACCATGCCCGCGCATCCCTTCTTCTCCCTCGTGCTCCTCCCTCCTCCCTCTCTGTCTGCACGGTGCTCCTCCCTGTCTGCACGGTGCTCCCTCCTTCTCCCCCCCCCTCCCCCTCCCTTTCTGTAGCCATCTGGGCGCAAGGTCTTGGGCCCCGAGCGCATGCAGCAGCGCCGCCGCGGTCCCCGCCGCCAGCTCGGGCCCCTGCCCAGCGCGCCGCGATGTGGGTGTACGTGG